CTGTCCCCTAACATCTTGTCCCCAAACCAGGCCAAACCCCTCTTCCCTGGACACTGAGTCATGGGCTCTCAGGTGGTCGAGCCGGGCAGACTGCAGACTCTGTGGACAGAAGTGGAGGCCCAAGGCCGCCCAAGGATGAGTCTTCCCCTCAGCCACCGCGAGGCCTGGGTGGAGGTGCTGAGTCCTCATAGCATTTCAGACTCTGCTGTCGCCACTGTGACCCTGCAGCCATAGAGGGGGGACTCAGGCTCTGGCCCCCACAGCTGCAGACAGACGTGGCAAGGCCTCCCAGCTCTCCTTGCTCTCATCTTTCAGAGACTGCCACCAGAGGCCCGCCCTTTCAGTGTGGGAACCTCCCTGCTCAGCCGCAGACACCCAGCCAGGCCAAAAGGCCCTTGGGGGGGGGGGGGTGAGGAGCCACAGACAAAGGCGCCCTGTGCTGGGCTGAGCTGGGCTTCCTCTTCGGAGAAGAGCCACTAAGACTTATTACCTGAAAGCTGTCTGTTGCCTCATTCCTGGAAGCTGAAGTGGGAGGGTGGGGAGAGGGCACAAGGAGGAGGAGGAGGAGGAGGAGGAGCGTGAAAGCAGTGGGGGGAACAGCGGGGTGCGAGAGTCCTCAAGGGGCCAGAAGGCAGGGCTGTGTCTGGCCCCAGAACTGCTCATTTTCCTCTATGGCCATCACTCACCAAAAAGCAGAAGTCACGAGGGTTTCCTTACAATCAACTCCTACGAGGCTGTGGGAGCTCATGCTCTTGGGGGTCCCCTCCCTGTCCCCCTGGAGACCCACAGTTGCCATCTCCATTCCCTGGTGGCCTGGACACAGACTCAGGCTGGACACAGATTCAGGCTGTTTTCTGGCAAAACCACAGAGACCTCCCCAAGACAGTCCCCTGCACCAGGGCCACCCTGCTGCACCCCCAGCCCCGACAGCAGCGACAGGCTCCTGGGGCTACACTGTCCAGAGAAAGGCCCGGGCACCGGGCACTATGGAGGACCATGGGGGCAGGCTCCCAAGCGCTCCCTGCCCAGCTTCAGGTTTTAGCACCCTGGGAAGGGAGCACAGGCCTTGGAACCCTGGGGAAGAGACCGGGGTTCTGGGAGCAGGGGAGAGAAGCAAGGGAATAGTGGGGGGGGGCTGTATCCCCCTTGAGATTAACAACTTGAGGGGGGCTGTTGTGAGGATTCAGGATTCGGCATAAACCCCTCAGGGCAGTCTCATCCTATGCTGAAAAAAGGTTTTGTTGCCCAAATGGGGGCCCTGGCAAACCTCTGCCCCCGCCATCCCCTCCCCCATCTCCACTTTGCCATCACAGAAGCCAAGCCTGAGGGCGCAATCCTGGGCCAGGAGGGTCCCCAGAGAGGTCCTGTGCACAGGGAGGGCTAGGATTCAGGCTCCAATCCCACGCGGCACCCCACCCCCCGCCAGGGCCCCACCCGCACCACCCCCAGCCACCTGCAGGGCCCCCTTGGGTGGGGCAGGCAGGGTGGGCCTGGGAGGCATCAGGGTGTCATTATCACTCCCCACAGAGCTCCTGAATGCTAGCCCTAACTTATCATCCCGGCCCAGTGCTCCCCAAGCAGGGTCCCCGGGAGGGGATGGAAGAGGCAGTCTGCTTCTCAGACACTCTCCTCAGTGCCGGTGAAACTGGAGGGAGGGGGCCACTGCTGAAGAGAACCAGGAATCCCTCCAGCTCTACAGTCAGGATGCTTTGAGCCCAAGGAGTGGTGCTCTCCAATTCCAGGCAGCCCATGTGGAAGCAGCAGAGTCAGTGTGCAGCTGCTCAGCCCCACGACCGGTGCTGAGGCAGAAGGGACCTGCTTCTGGGCTCCCCAGGCCAGAGTCCACCCTTTATAGGGCTTGAGGAGCTGTTAGCGCACCTCCTGGGGGTCTAGACATGTGGCCTGAGGGGGGCGGGTTTACTCCCTAGTTCCAGTAGGGGAACAAGGACCTCGAGGCCTGTGGACAGCAGCCCATCAGGTGAGACCTCCCCTCCTGAGGCAAGGGCCAAGATCCAAGGACATGAGAAGCAAAGCCAGGGGCCAGGAAAGGGGCAGGGGCAGCCTCCAGGCTGGCAGGGGAGACCTCTGGGGGGCCCTGCACTGTGAGGGGTGTGGCGCAGGCAGAAGTGGGGGAGCCTGAGCAAGAAATGCTCCTAAAGAAATCCTCAAACTCCCCACCTGAGAGGGACCAGAGAGGACCCCTTCCCCACTTCTGAATCCACATTCTCAGGGTTCCAGCTTCCCCCAAGACTGAGGAATGTCTGCCTTTGCCTAGTGGAGAAACGGAGGCCTGGGTCTAAGGCTGAGCCATGTTGTGCCTTATGATCTGGAAAGCCCTTCTTGCTTGAGGTAGGGTGAGGTCCCTGAGAGCGGGAGACAGGACTCTGGGCACGTCATCCTAAGAAGCTGCCCCCTGCTCTGTACCAGGCAGAACTGCCTATCCAGAATCCAGGCTCTGGCTCTCTTAGCCCCACATGGGCAGGCACCACTTCTGGAACCAGCCAGTTCTGTGAATATTCCCCTAGCCTGGCGATGGCCTCAGTTCCGGTGTCTCTTCCTCTCTGGCCCAGGTTCAGGGCCACAAGCTTCTCTTCAGTGCTGGGAAGCCTGGCCTCAGCTGGACCCTTTGCACCCTGGCACACACACCTGCATGTACATACCTGTATGCACACAGACTCATACATGCATGCATGCACATGTGTGCACACGCACACACATGCTCACACTCTTACACACATAATGTGCACACATGCACGGAAGGCATACAGATTCATGTACAACGCAGATATCTGAGTGCAAAGGCTCAAAAGTTTCCAGATCTCCTCTCCACACTGCACCGTCCACCTACATGAACTGAAGCTTCAGCTTCCCCAATGGGTGCGGTGCCCTTGGTTCTCCCCCAGACACTGGGCCCAAGGACTCGAATGTGGCCATCAAAGCTGTTTGCGGCATGGGCACTTGCAGCCTCCCAGAATCCAAAGAGAAGAACTGAGAAGCCTTAGTCTGGGGCAGGAACTAGGGCCAGGGCAAAGGGGAGCAGAAAGAACCTGAGTCCTGGAGCTGAGCAAGACTGCCCAGAAGCGCAGAAGCCAGACCTGAACTGGGGGTGGGGTGAGGATCCCAGGATAGTCCAGGAGGTGAGGCGCCATCACCAGAAAATGCAGCACACAGGTGCATACATCCCCACAGACCCTGGGGGTCTCCCCTTTCCCACTCCCACCTCACCTGAGCACAGAGATGGCAGGAAACGGGGGTGACACCCATCCTCAGACAGCTGGTGGGTAGGACCATACGGGGCACTTGATAAAAATGCACACTTTGATCTCCCCTTCGCCTGGAGGGCATTCTGAGTGGGTGGTCTGGGAGCCCAGGAAACTCTCAGGTGGCCATTGGTGAAATCACCGGGCAGCAGGAAAGAACTGTAAAAATTGTGTCTGCATTCCTGGGTGCCCACCAACATGCCAAACGTTCTCAATGAACCTCCTCAGTTTGCTCACCAGCAACCTGGGGAAAGTGCTATAGATTCCGTTCCCAAGATCCTACACTGCCCCCTAGAGGAGCCAGGGGAAGGAGCACTGTCAGGGCTAGCACCTTCACCTCCAACAGCACAGCAGGGAGGGCTTGCACACAGCTCACCCGGGGTTCGAATCCCGGCATCCCATAGGGTGGGTCTCCCAGTACCGCTGGGCCTGCCCGCAGGAGGGGAGCCCCACCTGCCCAAGACATTCGTCACTGGGCTCAACCTGATAGGTAGGGGAGTGGCAGGAAGGAGACATACACTAGGAGCTCCCGTCCCTGACAATTTTTTCTTCAGGAGGTAGGTCAGGGTTTCCTTTGCCTTCTCCCCCAAACTTCCTGCTTCGCTTGTTGTTATGGTGGAGGTTGAGTTGTGGTACTTGTACACTTGGTTGTGGTGCTTGCCAGAGCTTGTACATTCATGCCCGGGTGTGGGGCGGGGGTGAGGGGTCCCAGGCCTAGAGTCCAGAAACCGCGGTCAATGAGGGAAGCAGTGTTGGAGATGAAAGTCACATGTGACCAAGGTCAGAGCCGGCCAGTATTGAACCTGCAAACCTCCAAGGGACCTTGTTCCAGGACAAACAGGTCACCTGCTGCTCCCCCAAGCAGGCGACAGTGGCAGAATTAAGGAGGCAGCACGGGCATTTAATGAGCCATGAGGGTGGTGGTCCAGGCACTCCCGCCAGGGGCTGGAGGAGAGTACAGAGGCCTCCACACCAAGCTCTCAGGAGGCTCCTGACCTCACCCAGTGTGAAGAGGCAAAAGATAGTCGGAGGCTCATCTGGAAGCCTTTCGAAGCAGAGGTGCTGGGCTGGTGTGGAGCTGAACACAGTATAGAGCAATGAGTCTCCCACTCCCCAACTCCATAGCTCATGGGCAAACCTTCTGGAGATCAGGGAACTACCCCAACACCTGCAGCCTCACCCCCCCCCCCCCACAGGAGAGAGAGTGGACTGGACCCACAGGCGGTTACTGCCGGGGCCCTGGGGTACAGCAGTGGGTTACCGCCACTTAATTCCTGAAGTTCCCATTACTTTATATATTGGGCTTCAGAGTGATAAAAGAAAAGGTCTTTTCAGAAACCTCCACCTCCAAATAATAAAGCAGTGGAAACAGAGTCAGTCTTCTTGCATAACTGGAGACTAGGGTGGCTAAGGCAAGGGAATGGTCTTTCCCTGGCTTCTGGGTCCCTGGGGCTCACCCAGCTCTCCCGGGGTCTGCAGGACCCTCCCTCAAACTTGGAGCTCCAGCTTCACTGCTGACTTATCATGGTGGACATTTCCGCAGCACCCAGCCATTTGTGGCTACTGTACTCACATGCACTAACACACACACACACACACACACACACACTCCCCCCCCAACTCTTACACACACATTCACACACAATTCATACACACATACACAATACACACCCTATACACCCTGCAGATCACACACACACACACACACACACACACACACACACACAGAGCATTTCTTACCTCCTGGAGGGTGGCAGCCTCCCCACTCCCTTGGGGACCTTCTCTCTGGAGGCTCAAAGACTGCGGCTGGGAGCTCGTCACAGAAGATGCAGGGGGGCTGAGTGTTGAGGGGAACGAAGGGAAATGTGGGAACTGCCTGGGCGCCGAGGGAGCCCCCGCCACTCTCTGCAGGCAGACAGCTTCAGCCATATACCTGGAGAGCAAGCCAGAGGCAGCGGTCAAATCCTGCTGTGCCCAGCCCAGGGCCCCCTACCCCTCAGCTTGGGGAGCACACAGAGCAGGGCCAACCCTCCTCCATGTTGCAGTTTCCCTTGACCCCACTTCTTGGGGAAAATGCCCAGAGAGGCAGAGGTGAGGGTGCTTCAGAGACTCCCACATGCCCTGGAGAAAAGCTGGGCTAGGTGAGAGCAGTCAGGAGAGATGACAGTACCCCCCTACCCCACCCTACAGTTCGGGGAGGGGGTGTGGCAATGCTTGGCCTTGGGTTCATCAACTCACTTGGTTCCCAGCGGCGCAAAAATCGCTAAGTACCAGTTTCTGGCACAGCCGTGGTCGAAGGGGTTGTATCCCTGAATATATCTGCACTGAGGGAGGTGGAGAGGAAGAGGGGCTCAGAATCAGAGGGGCAGGATGGGTTGGGGATACCCCATCAACACCCCCCCTCAGCCCAACCCTACAGCCAATCAAAGGAGAAGGTGGCCCACCCACTTCTCAGTCATTCCCCAGACACCCGCACCCAGGACACCAGCCTGCTCCGAACAAACCTCCCAGTGATGTGGCACCAACTTCCCAGACTCTCTCTCAGGGCCACACATGGCTGTTTTCCCCATCAGACAAGGGGATCTTCTATAGGGGCTGCACTAGTCCAGACAGTCTCACCCACCTCTCATGTTTTCTGACTTTCTTTCTCCAAAAGGGATATTGTAAGGGGAGCCAATTCATTGTCCCAACAAGATTGTATGATCTTAGAAACTCTCCCCCAGGGTGGGGGTAGGGGGTGCTCTCTCCTGATGGTTCACTGCTATAAAGACCAAAGGCCTTTCCCCCCAGACTTCCTCCACTATGTACCCCACCCCCACCTGTCGATCTCACCCCTTCCTAAGCAGCCATCCCTCAACCCCTAGGATATCAAGAGCTACAAGATATTTGCCATAACCCAAAGTTGTCTGGTGGCACTTCACCTCCGTGTCCCTCAGGTGAGTAGTGGGACTTCAACACTGGTCCCCAAGGAATGGAAAAGGAGTCCCCACAGGGGAGCAGGGTTCTCAGGAAGGAAAGGTCTCGCTCTAGGAGGCCCTATTGCTGCCAAAAAGCAGCCCTGCTCCCTGGAGTGAGACTGACCTACTTGGTAAGGGTTTGAAGCATTGAAGCAAGACTGGCATACCACAGTCCTAACAACAATGGCTACAAGTTTATCAATTTGACAATCAGAACGTTCAATGGCTTGCTATTGAACTTGCAAACTGGCTCAACAATCCTCCAGGATTCAGAAGGAAATGGTTGCTCTATGGTTAAAGGAACGATCCTGGCTGGGCAGGGTCACAGCCATAGGTGCATCATGCAGCACCCTTTCCTCTTTCATGCCATCTGAGACCTCAGTGGAAGCTGCAGTTTCCAGATTCTTTCCCACAGGGGCCCCTGGGCTTCCCATAGGTCCTCCTGCTCCCACCTGGCCTCAAGCCCTCTCTTTCTGGCAGGCATCTCTTCACCTTAGCAGCCTGGTACTCAGCCCTCCCTTCTTGGCACCCACATCCTCCAACCCCATGTCAAGGTATACAGTTTCCCAAATTCAAGGCACTCCCAAAGCATGACCCTTTCTTTTGTTGTAAAGCTCATCATGTCTGCTCAAATATTTGAGATCTTTACAATATTCAGGGACTCCCCTGGAAATGGAGGCCAGAACCTTCAGTGAGAACAGCCTTAATGTTCAGGTGAAGGGCAGCTGGGAGGTAATGGGACATAGCCGGCTGCAGGCAGAGCCCAGCTCACACAAGCAACGGTCATGGGGCCCAAGAGGCCCAGGAATGGACACTGCAGTGTGCAGTCAGGAAAGACCTAGGATCACTCCTGCGTTTTGGCACTTGGAGAGCACAGGCTAAGTGTGATAGTGAGGACAAGGTCACAGGAAGTCCTAAGGGGATCTGCAGAGGTGGAGAATAGAGCTAATGAGCATAATTCACTTGGAAAAGTTGTTTGAGGCCTGCAGCCAGGCCACAGCTCACAGTTTAGAAAAGTTGGTGTATGCCAGTGAAGCCAGCTGGTTGGACTAGAGGCCTGTGACGCTGAGGTGCTGGCTTTTCTTTTAAGATGAAAGGCATGAGCAAAAGGATATACATAATAAACTCATAGTGCCTGTACCACAAACCATAATGACCAAAAGGAGAGAGAGAAAGAAAAAGAGAGATAAAAAGGGGGGAGGAGAAAAGGGAGGAGGAGGAGGAATAGAAGAAGAAGAAGAAGAAGAAGGAGAAGGAGAAGGAGAAGGAGAAGGAGAAGGAGAAGAAGAAGAAGAAGAAGAAGAAGAAGAAGAAGAAGAAGAAGAAGAAGAAGAAGAAGAAGAGGAGGAGGAGGAGGAGGAGGAGGAAGAGGAGGAGGAGGAGGAGGAGGAGGAGGAGGAGGAGGAGGCAAAAAGAAGAGGCAAGAAGAAGAGGAGGAGGCAAGAAGAAGAAAATACTTGCCATAGAAGGCTGGGGTGGGAGGAGGAAGGAGAGAAACTGGGAACATTGGTGGTGGGAAATGTACACTGAAGGGACAGGTATTGGAACATTGTATGACGGAAACCTAATCATGGACAACTTTGTAACTGTTTATCTCATAGTGATTTAATTAAAAAAATTAAAAATAGAAAAAAGGCATGAGCAACTGGTGTTGGAACGTTGTATGTATGCCTGAAACAACTATGGATAACTATGTGAATCAAGGTGCCTTAACATTCATTTTTTTAAAAAAGGAAAGAGACAGATGAACATGTGCCAGTGATGATGAGAAAGAATGATGATGGTAATAACATAGAAGGCACTTTTATCAGTCACTGCTTCACCAGTCACTAAGTCTTACACTTAGTAGCCCACGCTATCCTCTTTCACAGGTGGGAAGATGGCGGCACCAGGTGCCTAAGTAATATGCCCCAGAACCCCCTGCTGGGAAGCTGTAGTGCTGAGTCAGGGTGTTTGTGGCTTGAGTTCAGATCCCTGCTGCTAGCTACAAAGCATGGCTACAAGAAAAGTGGTAGACCAAAGTTGGAGGTGGGAAAAGAAACGTGAAAAGTGCTTGATGGAGGTTCAACAGATAACGGAAAGAGCTGGTCAAGTAAATCACAGAGCACAGACTGCATTTAGGATTCTCGATATTGGAGACCCTGGGGTGGGTGGGGCGGGAGTGCCTTTCTGAGCAGGGAAGGAAGAGGAGGACTATCACCAAAGTACCATTGAATTCTTCCTGGGAAGGGAAAGCATGTCTTCAGAGTGGCTCAACAGATGGACTGAGGCTCAAGAGCAAAAACAGACAGGCCTAGTGGCCTGATGGGTAGTAGTAACAGGCAGTCTGGGGACCAAATGTATATGGAGTGAGAGGGTGAGCGATGACTAGAAGAATGGGATGAAGCAAGCAAAGAGGACTCTGGTCCTCTCAGCATTTTGATGACCTTAGTCCCTTCCCCAATGTGGCCCACTAGAGTATTCCTAAATTACAGTCAGTCATTGTCCTGCTAATGGAACCCTGTAGCAAGAATATTGACTCTCATGTCTCCTGCTCAACACTGCACTGGACGTCCGGGACAATATGGTAAGAGAAAAAAATAAAACCCTACACGTTAAAAAGGAATAAGTGAGAGTATTACAAATGGCATCATGTGTAGTGTCAAAAAAAAAAGCAAGAGAGAGATTTATAATGAATAACCTGAGTTATTCATTGTATTACCTTATAAACTTAAAAGAAATTTAAAAATTAAGTGTACAATGGCACAAAAAGCATGAACTACTTAAGAGTCCAACACATTGTATTAATGACTCTATAAAACACAAATAAATTAAAGAAAACCAAAATAAATGAAGATACATATATCAATTATATTTATAAACTCAAAAACATTGCTAAAATGTCTGTTTTACAATTTGATCTAGAATCCTAATGAAAATCCCAGAAAATTTTAGAAATGGACAAATTGATTCCAAATTTTATTCAGGAAAGCAAAGGACAGCAAAGGAACAAAGTTGGAAAACTGACATTGTGCAACTTCAGCAGCATATAAAGCTACTGATGCCATGGCAGTGTAATGCTGATGACAGAACAGAGTCCAAAAATATCCTTATCTACTCAACCAATTGGTGACGTTACTGGGCCCACTCAAGCAAATCGATGAACAACGGGAGGATAGTAACAGTGACAGTGACTCAACCAGTTGATTTTTAACAGATGTACAATCAACTCAATGGAAAAAAGATAGTCTTTTCAACTGAGGGTGCTAGAAAAATCTAAATGGAAAAAATAAAATCTTGACCCATACCTTAAAAAAAAACCCTTTAAAAATAAATCTTGGGGCTGGAACAATAGCACAGTGGGTAGGGCATTTGCCTTGCACGCAGCCAACCCAGGTTCTATTCCCAGCATCCCATATGGTCCCCCAGACAACACCAGGAGTAATTCCTGAGTGCAGAGCCAGGAGTAACCCCTGAGCATCTCTGGATGTGACCCAAAAAGAAAAAAAAAATTCATAATGTGCCTCACCAAAATAAAAAAAATTCTTATCTTTAGAGGATATTGTTTAAGAATATCAGTCGGGCACTACAGAGGAAGAGTACAGGGGTTAAGGCACTCGCCTTGAACACAATTACTAGGTCGACTGTGGTCCAGTCCCCATCATCGCATATAGTCCCCTGAACACTACAGGAGTGACTAATGAGCACAGAACTATGAGTAACCTCTGACATGATCCAAAGATTTTTTTTAAAAAAAATTAAAAAATAAATTAAAACATAAGGTGGGATCAGGAGCTAGTTCCGTGGTTAGAGCCCACTCCAGGCTGACTCAGGTTTGCACTAGCTGTTCCCCCAGCATTGCCAGGTTAAGTCCTGGAGACTCAGCATCACAGGTATCCCTGGCACTAAAGGACAATGGCAGCATCACATCTGTGGATCCTTGTACTGAAGTGATGGTCCACTTCACCTGGAATTGTTGGATGGACTCCTGAGCACTCCTTGGACTCCCCAAGAAAAAACTAAAAACATAAGATGAAAGTCTGAGGCGGTTAAACCTCAGAACAACACAAAACAAATAAGGTGACAAGTCATAGCACGGGAGAGACTATTTTGTGAAATATACCCAGAATATATAAACTTAAAATTCATTAACAATGCACCAATTTTAAAGAGGAGAAAGACTGAAACAAATAACCTCATTAGTGATGGTGAATAACAACAAAAGATGCTTAATATTTCCTAGTCACTCAGAAAATGCAAATAAAAACCACAAAGAACATCAGCACACAATTATTAGGTCATCTAAAATCAAGAAACAAAGCAGGGCCCTGAAAGTACAAGGGGTTCTGACTCTTGCCCTGCACACAGCTGACCCTGGTTTGATCCCTGGTACTACAGAGCCAGAAGCAAGCCCTGTGCAAGAGAGGGTGTGACCCCAAAATGAAACAAAAAAGAACAATAAAACACGTATTCCTGGCTTATTCCAGGTCATGAGTTCAATACCCAGTACTATATGGTCCCGAGCACCTCCAGGTGTGGACCTGATGGGCCCAGAGTACCAGCCAACACAGCTCTCAAAGCACCTCTGGGGAAGGCTATAGTAAATGAAAAAATTTTCAAATAAGTAAACAAAAAAAAAAAACTAGTAAAGCCAAATTTTGGTAAAAATAGAGAGAAATTGGAGTTCTCACATTTCTTGTGAGGATGCAAAAAAGGAGCAGTCGTTTGAAGACAATTTAGAAGTGTCCCAATTTTTATTTTCTGGTGCAAGGATCTCAAATCAGGCCTTGCACACACACAGCAAGTGCTCTATCACTGAGCTTAATCCCTGGCCCTACCAAAACTTTTTATAAAGCTACATATACAATCACCACATAACCCTAAACATTCCTATTTAACCAAAAAGAAATGAAAACATATGTTCACATGCCTATACACCAATGTTTATTATAGTGCCTTTATTTATAATCATTTAAAACTGAAAACAACCCAAATACTGTTTTATCCAAATATTCTTTAATTTCTTGGAAGTAGATAAATAAGCCATGGCATATTTTATAAAGGAATATGACACAGTAATAAAAAATGAACAAACTACAGATATGAACAACATGCCTGGAGGAATCTCAAACATATTATGCGAAGTGAAAGAAGACAGGCTTCAAAGACTAAGAGTTTTCAGTTATATGAATCTCAAAAAATAATAATAATAAGGAAAACACAAAATATTAACATTCTTATTTTGTTTTGCCAGGGGGCTGCAGGTGGTGAAGGGAAGTGACTATCAAAAGTCAGAAGGGGATTTGAGGGTGGGTGGAAATGAAGTTGATTTAAATTTCAGTGTTTTCTGCATGGGTAGAGCATATCGACGAACAACGGGAGGACAGTGACTGTCTGTGTTTCAGAAACTCATAGAATTGCACTAAAGAGGAGGAGAGTCTTTTGGTTTACTTTGAGAAACATATGGTGCAAGGGAGCCCATGACTGAAAGGACAAACCAATGTTAACCTACTGACGAGGAATGTGCTGTCTCCAGTCCAAGAGGGGTTTACCTCATGCTTTAAAAACAAACAACAGACTCAAGGCTTCCAGGCTTTCACTGCACCAAGACTAAATTCTCACCTGGCTTTCTGAAAAAAAAAAAATTGACCTTTAAAATCTGGTCAATTCCAAGTATCCACTTGACTTTCCACATCATCTCCTGCTCCTATTAGAACTGTTTCCTGACCATTTCACGAGCATTCCACGGAGACTTTCAAGGAAGGCCTGTCCCTGTGCATCCCTGGATTTCTCTCCCTGTCTCCTTTGGGTGCAAAACCTTCAGCGCACACCCTCTGCCATGGTCTCCACAGAACTCAGCCTGCTCGGAGCTGGTGAGGCAGGACCCAGGAATTGCCCCGTTGGTGTTCATGAGCGCCAAGGGGCTGCTACTCTATTTCAGTTCCTATTCCACTCGTCAGGTTCCTTTTCAACTCACCTGTAGGCCAGGCTCTCACACAACACCCAGGCGGGGCGCACACACTAGACCCTCGTTTGGCCGACGCCTGGCGGAGTGGGCAGGGGGTGGCACGGGGCTCCCGGGGGGGTGGGGGGCTGGGGGCAAGACTTGAATGTGGTTTGAACGCGCCAATGACGGCGGGCCAGCAGCAGCCAGGGCGGTGAAAGGACACCCCGACCCGCGTACCTTGCCCTCGTAGGAGCGCTCCCCTGCGCTCACCGACACGACCTGCAGCACCAGCAGCACGAGCACGGGTACCAGGGAGACTGCGGCCGGAACAGCCACGAGGATGCTAGCGCCTGCTAAGGAAGGTCCCACGGCTTTCCGCGCCCCGCCCAACCGCCTCTCTTCGCGAATCAGCTTCGCCCGCCCTCCAGTCGCGCAACCTTGCCCGGCAAGGCCAGGCCGCTCCTCGCCCCTGATTGGCCACCCGCCGCCCATCCCCCCCGCTCCTCGCCCCTGATTGGCCCGCCAGCCTCGGGGCTTCCCGCCCATCTGCAGCCGCCAACCCCGCCCCGCCCTGACTCCCGGGCGGCTGGATACGCCATGGCTTTGTCGATGGAGAAGGGCAGATGGGCCACGCGCACTAGGAAGATCAGGCTGGTGGTCAGCACTGCGCCCGAGTAGAGGCAGAGAGACAGGATGAGCAGCATGAAGAAGCGGAAGTTGCGATGACCGACGCAGTTATTGACCCATTTGCAGTGATGGTCAAAGTCCTGTATGAGAGGAACAGGGGAGCGGGCCTCCGGGACCCATCTCCGGCCCAGGCTCGCCGCCCCCAGAGCTGCACCCCCACTCCCACTGTGCCTCCCCCTTTCGGGCTCGACCCGGTGCGCTGGCTATGGTGCCAGGGGAGATACTGAGCCCCAGAGTAATTCTTCTCGGGCTGGAATTACTCCGAATAGAGCTGGGTGCCGGGACAGGTGGGGTGCGAATTCTGCTGTAACTCTGCTTTCTCACCCTTTAACTGCAGCCTTGTAAGGCTGTAAGGTTACCAGGTTGTAAGGACAACGCATCTGAAAGCTTTGCGAACAATGGACACGGACAGACAGATATGCAGCGTTCAGGAGGGGGCCCGCTAGCCTGACCCTGGAGAGTAAGACAGGCCCACTCCCTGCCTGCAGACAGTCCAGCATCCTTGTATCAGTAAGACCAGGAACAGGGGCCCAGAGGGGAAGTGAGTGTCTCTGCCAGTGTTTAGCACCTGTGCTACAAGGCCCAGCCAGGCAAGGCAAGTGACAAGGGCAAATGCAGGCATAGCCAGCGACCTGCATGAGTGACCACCAGTGGCTGAGAGTTACTACTAGAAATGCCCTTTTAACAACTGCAAAGTTGTTTCCACCCACTGCTGGTGCCTGCCAAGGGTTGGGGGAGGCAGATGGGCAGGCAGGAGAATCACTTACCTCCACACAGATATTGCACCAGGGGCAATGGAAGGTCCGGGGTGGGCGGTGGAAGCAGCACTTCTGGCACCACTGCAGGCGGAAGGCTCGGTGGTTCACCCACATTACGTGGACCGTCATGGGGCCCTGTTCATTGGAGCCTGGTGCAGAAAGAGGATTAGGCAGCACAGGCAGTCCTTCCATCATTGGTGCTCCAGGAAAGGGGGAAGAGGAGGGGAGTAGGGGCATTTCCAGTCCTGCACTAAGGAAGCCAAAGGAGGACTGGGACGGATGCTTGCAGCTATGTGGGCAATGAAGGGGAGAGTCAGTATTGACTGGTTTTGAAGAGTTGATTCCCCCTACCTCCACCAAATGGATCCCAGCCCCCACCCCTGAAGTTCTTTTTCCACCTCTTGGGCTTTCAAAGCAGGACCTGAACCAATGGGGACAAATGGTGAGAGCCTGAGAACTGAACACAGGAGACTGGGGAGCCCTTTAGGAATCATCCCTCTAGACAGGAGCCCTTGGGTACCACCTCCAGCTCCCAGGGGATCCAGGCTTCACCTTGATGCAAGATTCCCGGGTCCGAGAAGTTAAGAAAAAGAAGACTGGAGAAGGTAAGGAGAAAGAGGAGGCCCGTGATGATGAGAAAGACCTGCTCCCCGTTCTGTGCCAGCCACCTGCAACTGAGATCCGAGCAGGGCTCAGCCTTGGTCTGGGTGCCTGTCAGCCCATTAAGACCCCCCATGACCAATCCATTGAGGCTCTGCCAAGTATCACCCCATATTACCAGCCACCTGCTTTTCCCCATTCACTCCACATTTACACCTGTGGGCCTTGGCCATACAGGTCCTTCTGCCTTTCTGGTCCCCTCTCCTGGCTCCAGTCTCAAGGGACACTCACGGGAATGCAAAGAAGAGGCCACTGATCATGACCAGCAGGACCACATTGAAGGCAGCAAACAGACTCTGGAGGATCCAGGAAAACTGGATTGGAGTGGGGGGGTGGGGCTCTTTTAGGAGAGGCATGACAGCACCCCCCTAGGCTCCCCAAGTGCTCAGAACCAGCAGGTTCCTTCCCCACCCCAACTTGGTCCAGGAGCCCCATGACCCCCACAGCCCTGGGCTGCGGGAAGGAGAGCCAGTGTGACATCACAGAGATGGAGGAGAATGAGGGCACAGGGCTCCTGAGCAGGGCTGCCTGTAGATTCTCTGGCCTCGTGGAGGTGCTGTCATTACTATCAGGAGCCCGCCCACGTTGCACTGGTGTTGGCAGCCCAGTGGTTGGCTTGGAGACCTGAGATGAAAAAAGCACACTGGGAGAAGGTGAGGATCCTTTTAGACACAGGCTTGTGGAAGCAAACCCTACGAGGCCCACCCCAACTCCACTTTTTCCTTTCTTTCTTTCTTTCTTTTTTTCTTTCTTTCTTTCTTTCTTTCTTTTTTAATGTAGGAGTATTGCTGTTTATTCAGCCATTGATTAGGCTGATTGAATTGGGCATGAACTCCACCTTACTTTTTTTTTTAAATAAATTTATTTATTGAATCACCATGAGAGCAGTTACAAAGCTTTCAGGTTTAAGTCTCGGTCATACAATGATGAAACACCTGTCCCTACACCAGTGCCCATTCTCCACCAACAAAAACCCCAGTATACCCCCCATCCCACACCCTCGCCTACCTGTGGGGCAGACGATTTCCACATTACTCTCTCTCTACTTTGATTACATTCAATATTTCGACACTAGACCCACCATTATTATTTGGGATTTTACCCCAACACTCAGATCTGCTTAAAAGGCAACAGTAGACAATTTGTGTTCTATTGCTGGTTATGAATAACATATGATGTTGTGTGGCTGCAGTAGTGGCTGTGCGATTTTGGAATTCCCAAATTTTAACAATTAAATCTGGAAGGATTTCTACCAAAACCTGGTGGGTTCCTAGATTTGTTCCTGAGTCTCTGGGATCATGGCCATGAAGCAGCTTGATCGGAGGCAGAGAGGCCAGTCATAAGCGGCGACCTGGGGTCTCATTGGGGCAGGGAGGAAAGGGCCGGTTCCACCCCCATCCCGTGAGGCCCCATGTGTCTCGTCACTGCGGGCCCAAACCTGACTGTCCAATGGCCTCTGGAGGATGACAGTCACCGAGCCACCAGGGAAACAGGCCAAAGCACAAAACTTATTCCCTCCTATGGTGGCCTGGTGCCGGTAATCTACTGCGGGGTCTGGATGCGTTTCTGCCAAAAGCCGCTGTGCTCTGAGATTTGTTTCTGAGTCTCTTGGATCATGGCCATTAAGCAGCTTGATTAGGAGCCAGAGAGGTTGTTCATGGGCAGTGACTCGAGGTCTCGTTAGAGCAGGGAGGAAAGGGCCGGCTCCACCCCCATCCCGTGAGGACCCTGGTCACTTTTTCCTTTCTTTTAGCACAGAATTCCACTTGGGGTGGGGGAGGGGGCAGTTAAGTCTGCTGTCAGTCTGCTTATTTCTGGAGTTAGCCTCATGACACAATTCTGGTTGATGAGATGGAGGAAATATGCATTGAAGGTTACTGGCCCATTGGTTTCCTCTGGCCCTACTGAGGGGAGGGGGGCAGGACACTGTTGGCGCAGCTGTCCCCTTCTTCCTGTCTTGGACCTTGACATGCTAACTGTGGGGACACTAGGACCCTTAGAAAATAAGTCAATTTGTTCCCCAGATGGAGCCTGAGGGCCTTGTAGAGTTCAGTCTTGCCCTGCTGAGCAGCTTGTTGGCTGGGAGAACATGAAGGGTTCCTGTTACCTGCAGCTGACTTATATTATTTGCTGAGTCATGGCGCCTGAAACCCTTCTGTATTTGAAGGGTACCCTGCATTGTAAGTCTTGACGGGGATCAAAGATCATTTCTCAACCCAACCTGGGTGGTGGCAAATGCCTAATTCTTGTAACCAGAACCTCTCACTGAGAGGGAAGAGGCTGATGACACATTCGCCCATCACCAAGGACCCTTAGTGTCACTGCCACCAGCCAGAGGGAACTTTTCCTGAGATGCAGCAACAGGCCATCTTCTCTGAGCTCTCTTGACTTTTTGAACATCGCTGTCATTTCAAGAGTGATTGTGTTATTCTTCAACATGGAAAAAAAATACGTGATTCCAAAATTCCTGCTTTACTGAAAACAAAAACCAAAAACCCTTACACTGATAATGAATTGGGATAATTGAAGTGGGTTATTTGTGGGAAATTAACTTGAGATTAATTAAAAATAGAGCAAGAGTTCTTTGCCAACACCCAATGATTATTACTTACATGTCCTTACCTATTGAAGCACTTTTCCTTAGTGACATTTAGACTTAAGGGGTCAATCAATGCAATGAGAATTTCATCTTATTATAAATTTTTAAAATTTTTTTATGTAGGAGTATTGCTATTTATTCAGCTCTTATTACATTTTTGATCACTTCATCACTTGATATCCCGCTACTCGTCGATTCGCTCGAGCAGGCGCCAGTAACGTCTCCATCTGTCCCTGTTGCGTGCTAGTGTAGCTCAGTGGCGTCTGCTTGCTACAGGAACACGAAGAGCCTCAAACCGTTTGTTCAGGGTCTTGAAGAAAGTCTGACCATCTCGTAGGTGGGCGGCCACGTGTTCTTTTGATATCACGTGGAATCCAGTCGGTAACAGCTCTAGTCCAGCAGTCATCTTCAAATCGCATTACATGTCCAGCCTTTCTGATTTTTCATGGCTTGGCAAATGAGACAGCATCCCTGATTCTCAATCGTCGACAGAGGTCGGAACTACGGATTCCTTCTCTCACTTGAGTGAAGCGTGATACTCCAATCATAGCTCTTTCAATTCCTTTTTGGGTGACCTGAATAGCGTTCTCATTCCATTTTCGTAAGGCCCAGGTCTCTGAGGCATATGTTAGAGCAGGGAGAATGGTGGAGTGATGTGAATGGTGAATGGTGGAAGAGATGTGCCGAGAGCCGGAGTTTCTTCATCCTCTTAGTTATTTCTTTGATGCTTTTGAAGGCATTCCAAACTGCTCTCTTCCTCCTGCGCAGCTCAGGTGCCAGATCATTCCTCATGTTGAGTTCTCTACCTAGGTACACATAACTGCTGCATTTAGAGATGTTCCCTCTGTTGAAAGCAAATGAAATGTCAGGAACTAGTCTGTTTTTCATAAACATTGTCTTTGTGAGACTCAGCTGCAGTCCAATCTTTCCACACTCACGGTTGAAGTCGGTCAGCATTTGTGCCGCATGGCTAATGTTTGGTATCATCAGTAAAGTGGAAGTGGTGTAGTTGCCGACCGTCTATCTTCACTCCCATTCCTTCCCATTCCAGTCTTCGCATAATGTTCTTGAGGGTGGCACTGAAGAGTTTCGGTGAAATGGTATCACCCTGCTGAACCTCTTTTTACCTCGATGATCACTTCCTTGTAGAATGGTGAGATCCTAGTGGTGGATCCATAATACAGCTCTTGGAGGATCCTCATGTACTGAGTTTGAATGCCCTGTTTGGCTAGGGCTTCAGTGACCACTTCAGTCTCAACAGAATCAAAGGCCTTCTTTAAATCTATGAACATTAGACAGAACGGCATCTTGAACTCCTGAGAAACCCCAATGAGCTTGGTTATCATGTGGATATGGTCAATCATGCTGAATCCTTTTCAGAATCCAGCTTGCTCGCATGGTTGTCTTTCATCTAGTGTTCTGCCAGTCCTATTCAGGATGACTTGAGTGAACAGCTTGTAGATGACGGACAATAGGCAGATGGGGTGATAGTTGCTAATGTCGTGGAAGTCTCCCTTCTTGTACAGTAGAATGTTCCTGCTGGCTTTCCACGGGGACAGAACCTTGTATTCAGACAGGTAGTGTGTGAAGAGCCTGTCATTGTATTGACAAGTATTGACAGCAGATTCTTCAGGTGTTCAGGTCTGACCTTGTCTGAGTTGGGTGCTCTTCACTTCTTTATCGACAAAATGGCATGTCGGATTTCAGAAGGGAGAAAGTTGGGAACGACATATCCACCCTGCAGAATTTGGTATGTGGGCAGGTGGACGTGGCTATCGAAGATATCTGAGTAGAAGTCATGGGTAATCTTCTCCATTGCCCTTCTGGAAGATGTGATAGATCCATCAGGACATTGGAGGACAGTCATCTTGGTCTTATAGTTGACGAAGGACAGGCATACGTTGTGAAAACTTTTCCCGGCTTCTGCCGCATTGGCCAGTGCTGCTACTCTTTTCTCTTTGAGGTCTTCCTTGCTCGCTTCTCTGCACTGCTTTGTGAGCTTGGATGTTAGCTTGTGCTTGCCTGAGGTTCATGCCAAGCCACATTGGAGAATGAGCTTGAGAGTTTCCAAAGACAGACATCTTTTTGTGGCTTTCTCTCTCTCAACATTCCTTGCACAATCATGAAGGTGCTGAACCAGTTGATCGTATTTCTCGTTGATGTCATCAATGATGGCATCTTCCCATGTTACCACAATAGTGCCAAAGAGCAGCCAGTTGGTGGTGGTTCTGGGAATTCTCTTCTTAAACTTTGCAGCCTTTTCTCCACGCTCTGTGAAGTAGAATTTTGCACGAAGGAGATGGTGGTTCGATCCCATTTTTGGGACAAAAGCGACATTGGTCAGGCAAAATCGTCGATTGAATATGATGTGGTCAATTTCATTGTAGAACTGTCCACCGGGAGACTCCCATGTCCAATGTTTAGATTCGGCCTTCTGGAACTGTCAGTTACCACGAATGGTTTTGGTTGGCATGATAAACTCAGTCTTTCATCCTGTTAGTTCCATTCTAGCCATGGGTCCCGATGTGGAGTTCTTTGGGCGACCTTCTCGGTCTTATCTTGGCATTAAAATCATTGACAATGATCTTGTAGAAGGTATGGTCTTCTTTATAGAACTTCTCCAGCTCCGTGTAGAATTTCTCAATTTCTTTTTCATCGTAGTTGGATGTTGGTGCATAGACGATGAAGATAGAAACTGCCAGCAGTGAGCCACATCTATTCAAGCATAAGTGTCCTATTCCGCATGTTAGGCATTCA